ATGAGATGCATGCCATGATAACAGCCGACCATGGGCAAGGGGCCATGAGAGTGACTCTTGGTCTCCGGTTCATTGGAGGCGGCAAGGTCATCGATGAAGTCGACCACTTGGTAGGTCATGTTGACTGTAGAAAGGACAGTCGAGAAGTCTTGGACGCCAGCAAAGTCATCTCAAATATCAACGGAGCAATCAAAGCCATAGCGACTCTCGGAATCCTTCACTTGATTATCTTGTGCCAAGGCAACTTGAAGTGGGTGTCGGAAGCCCTTGGAAAGCCTGGCATGTCGACCTGTCACTGTCCTTGGTGCAAAAGCAGGCGGCACAGGTTTCAACAGGGAGGAAAATACCACCCGCTTGATATTGTGGAACCATGGACTCTTGCAAAGATGAAGGAACACTTAGAGTTGCTGGAGTGTGGCAAGTTGAAGAGGAATGATGCAGACGAAGCCAACGGCATAGTCCATGCCCCCTTGCTGGATATAGAGCCAAGCAACTTCATTTTCTGCCCTCTCCACGGAATAGTCTTGCATGCGAACAATGTGTTCGATCACTTCCAAAAGTTTCTCAGCCACCGAATTCAATCAATCCCTCTCGAGCTGCTGCTGGCTCGAGACAAGAAGACCGCATTCGAGCGACTGGTCGAAGAAACGAAGCAGACGACATTGGATTTGGAGGAGCAACTCAAAGGAATGGAAGAAGACCTTGAGTATCTTGGTAGAGGTGGAGCCTTTGAAGATGACGATGAACAGGAGCAATTCCTTCTTCTGCAAGGAGCTGCACCACAGACCAGGAAGGATCTGGAGGCAGCAAAGGAGAAACACGACGAAGCAAAATCAACATTGAGGACTTTGAGCAGCAAGCTTGCCAAAATGCAAAAACAGAAGGAGTACGGAAAGCAAACTGAAGACTTGTGGCTTACCATTGAGAAGACACTCAGGAAAAATTACAACGTGAAGGCGTCCTCGTATCATGGAGGTAATATGGAAGTCAACGAGTGTCGGAGGCTAATGAGACACGCCACCGAGATAATGGCCGATGTGAAGATAGTGGCGATGGAATACTTGAGTGCACTTCCTGAAGAGGAGAGAGCCAAGAGAGCGATGAAGAGGAGATTGATGTCTTCCTTTTGGCGTTTGCAAGACTCCTTCAGTACATGGATGTCATGGCCCACTATGCGTACCAACCATACGGCAGCTTGACGGATGGAGATCTTGATGATGCCGACAGGATTGTCCGGGACGCAGTGAGCTCTGGATGAACCTGATGCCAACCGTGACCATGAAAGTCCATACATGGCCCATTTCCTTGAACACTTGCGCCGATTCCGAGGACTCAAGAGCCACACAGAGGAGCCAATCGAGAGGGCCCATCAAGATGGGAAACGGCATGACGTTCGGCTCAAAGCAGTCCGCGACTTCGTGAAGAAGACCAACAACATTCAAAGGCACACGGCAATTGAAAATGATGAGAGAGTAAAGGCAGCACAAGCTGACATGGAGAAGAAGAGGCCTACGAGGAAGAAGGGTGAAGAGGAAGTGCGACAGAGTGAGATGAAGGCAGCATCGAGGAGGCAGCAGATTGAATCAATCCTGGCTCTTCCACCACTCCAGGTCAACATACCATCATTGTTGGATCTTGCACAGAAACACATGTCACCGGAGGAAGCTAGAAGGTTGCAGGCACTGGTCAAAGAGGAGGAAGAAAGAGAGCAGGAAGAAGCCATTGAGAAAGCACAGGAGAGGCTGGAAGACGCAACCAGAGCAGTCAAAAAGGCAGCCGATCCGAAGAAGAAGACCACGAAACGCAAGAATCCGACAAAAGGAAAGACAGCAACCAAGAAGAAGAGAGCAGCAACCAAGAAAGCTCCTCCAAAGAGCAAGTAGACGGCCACATACCTGAACGGAAGGCGAATTCGGCCATGGTGGTTGGTTGCTTTGAGAAGAGGAGTGGCATGGCTGACTGTGTGTTCGCTTGGTGCCATCAATCGAGGAGCGAGGAATCTATCTATCTATCTATCGGCGTCTGTCGAAGATCTTGGAACAGATCTGTCGGTTGGAGTTGTCTCTTCGTTGGAACGTCTTAGACTTAAAGCACCACTATTAGAAGATTTAACAAACTGGACTGAAAGAACCCATTCCCGCCGTCATTCGGAATACTGACGTTCCGGATCCAAACGCCAACAGTTGGTGTTAGACAATAGACAAGAGAAAGAGAGAGCCACTCATGTAATGCTCCTATAGTTTGCAGGTCAAAGAGAAGGGAATGACATATTGATTGCTTTGGTTGTTTAAAAGCAGTCAATCGATCTTGACAAGAGCACTCTTTTCGGCCTTGAGTAGCAGCAAACCAATCGGAGATTGCACTCTTTCAGTCGGAGAAGCCACTTGTGCACATCTTGCTCCTATAGTTTGCAGGTCAAAGAGAAGGGAATGACATATTGATTGCTTTGGTTGTTTAAATCGTTCCGGCACGATTGCAATCGATCATTGAAAGAGCACTCTTTTGGCTTGGGTATCATCCAATCACTGTCGGAGACGCATGCAATCGGCATGTCTCAGAGCCATCAACGCTCTTTATCTATCGACAGCAAATCACGGGATCGACATTTGGATCGATACTTTGGCTCTTGAGTATCATCCAAAAATTCGGAGACGCATGCTTATCTATTGACAGCAATCACGGGATCCATATTTGGATCTCTTGACTAGAGTGATATGCGCATTAAGACTGACCGTTCGCCGAAATATTCTCTTCAGGGCTGGTTATAGAACATTGCCCTTCTAAGGCGGGGAATCGATAGAACACATGTAGTTGAGTATGCCATAAATCTCGCAGCTTCATAGTGTACTTAGGGCATTCTCTAGTAGATTCGTTCGTCCTAAAACTCGTTCTAAGTCTATTTTAGAACGAAAATTTAGGACAAAAGCAATCTTTAACTCAAAATCGTCCTAAAATTCGTCCTATTTTTAGGACGAATTTTTTTTCTCCGTCCTATTCCTGAGAAATAGGACGATTTATTTCGGCTCGTCCTAACATTCGTCCTATTGTTTTCTTTAAATCTTTGAGTCCCATCCACCATCGAGTTAACACGATTGACTGAACCCTCTCTGTTAACTCGCTACTACCTATTACCGGTAGCCACCATACAGTAGCTATGCTGTAGCTAGTAGATAACAAACTCCAACAGTAATTACTGCACAGCACCACAGACCACAGAGGTGCTTCGTGGGAAGCTTCTAGCCACACTATCAGGACCATGTTAACAGGCTGACAGAGAAGAGGTGCATGCAGGACGAGTTTTAAGACCAGCTTTTTAGAGACTGAAACTCGTCCGTCCTAAAACTCGTCCTATCTTTTAAAAGAAAGTCTGGTTTTAGAACCAGTTTCTTAGAGATTGCCAATTCGTCCTAAAAACTGGTCCTAAACTTAGGACGAGTAGCTTAGGACGAGTTTTAGGACGAGAAGTACTAGAGAATGCCCTTATTGGTGGAGTTACGGGCGGTTGAAGATATCCGCCCAACTGACATCGAATTCTTTTTACCACATATTAAGACCGATGACGTCAGTCGTGCCTCTGGTACCGAAACTACGTAGGATCCTACGTACGTACCTCTATCGAGTGAAACTCCTTGCCTTGCCGCACCTCTATCGACTCTTCGCACCTCTATCGGTGCTTCGCTCGCACATGCATAAAGCACCTCCACAGTCTATCGCACATGCATAAAGCACCTCTACAGTCTACCTAGAATAGAAGCACCTCTATCGACACTCCTTCTTCCGTACCTCATCTATCGTTCGTCTATCGTATAGACTATCGACACTCGTTCGTCTCAAGATGGCCGTTTCCGACAGCAGTGATGATGGCATTGACGAAGGGATTGACGAAGAAGACGATGGCATTGGCGAAGAGGATTACGAAGAGGATTATGACCATGATAGGGACTTCCAGATCAAGTACGTTGACCATTACAAGCAGGCTAACGTTACGGACTTCTTCAAGCAGAAAAGGAGACGCGGCAGACCCAAAAGATCGACTCTTGCCAACGAAATTGTTCCTGTGAAGAAGAGAGCCGTTGGTCGTCCCAAGGGATCCACCAAGTTTAGGACAACCGCAGAGAAGAACAAAGCAGGAAAAAAGAAGAAGGCTCCTGCGAAGAAGGCCGCTCCTTCAGCCAAGGTTGATGCGCCAAAGAGGAAGCGCATGAATTGGTCTACGCCCAAGAACAGGCCGAAGTTTGCAGCTGCCATTACGGAGTGGCTGAACCGGAGTGGAAGGGCTCTGGATTCACAAGGAGAGCCAACCGTCTCTATGGCTCAATTCGCCAAGATTGTTGGTATCAAATACAATACCTTCAAGGCCCACGTCTGTAAAGATGAATGCAAAAGACGAACAGTTACCAATGGCCAAGGAGCACGCCCCCTGATCTCCAAAAAGGATCAAATATTCGTTGCCACAGTTGCAGCCAGGATGGATAGAGGCAACGATGGAGCCTCCGCTAGAGAGTGCATAGACATGATCCAAGACGTTGCTCCCGAGCTCACTCGCAAGCAGGCTTCCGAGCATTTCCACCGTACATTGTTGACGTCTTATCCTAGCATCATCAAGCCAAAGACAGTTGTGGCTCAAGCCTCAACTACAAAACGAACCAACATTAATGTGCAGCAACAGTTCCGTTGGCACAAGACCGTTGATGGTGCTTTCGAAGAACTCCGAAGGAGGAACCAAGGTCGCTGCAACGTTACAGGAAAATCCTTCGGTGAGGTCATGGATCATTTCATCACTGGAGGGGACGAAACCTGCTTCATGGCTTGCCCGGATGGCTCTACCAAGGTGGTTGGTGCTAGCGGCAGAACCAAGCATGAAAAACGAACCAGTGATAGTCGAGATTCAATCACAATGTACCGTACCGGAAGTGCTGCTGGTGAAACTGGGCCTACTGTGTTCCTTCTCAAAGGGAAGAATAAACAGCTCGGATACACGGATAAGTTTCTAGAGGAGAATGGAGCGAAGTTTGGTTCCACCGTGATTATGACACCGAATGCGTTCATGACTACGGAAGCCTGGGAAGAAATGACAATTCCTGTTTGTCAGGGTCTACGGAAGATGGATCCGATTGTGGAAGAAAACCCGCAGTGGTGGATCCTAGAAATTTTCGATGGCTTTGGCGCTCACCTAGCTTCTTTTCCTGCTTTGCGCAACAGATTTGAATACAAGATATTGTCGCTTAAGGAGGAGGGTGATTCTTCTCACGTCAACCAAGCATACGATCGACTTGTTGCCAAAGCAGATAAGGCAGCAAAGAATGAGTGTCTGTCCCATTTGCGTCGAACGGTATTTGAGAATCGTGGAGTGGTGGACCAGTGGAAGATGGTCCATGTTGGTCTGTACGCTGTACGCCAAACAAGCTCTTCGGCTTGGCATCGTTCCTTTGCTGCGGTGAACTTGGATCCACTCTCGAGAGTTCCCTTTTCAGAGTGGTGTCTCAAGATTGCAGATTTCATGCAGGGCGGTGACTCGTTCAAGACCAAGGGAGCACTGGATCTGTATTCGCTCTTGCCACCGTTTTGGCACGGAATGACGCCAGAAGAAAAGAAGATGTCAGTGGCCGTCTACAAGTCGCATGATTGTTGGTCGGTGCAGTGCATCAGTGCCATTGTGGAGAAGACATTCGTCCCAGCCAGTCAATTGCAGAATTTGCGGGTCTGTATTGAAATGGCATCGATAAAGTCTAGGAGCGAGAGCTCTGGATCCCGTCAGAGATAGCTCCAACAGCTATGCTGGCCTACAGCTCCAGCACCCACAGCTGGCTTATCTCCAGCAAAGCAGCGAGAAAGGATCGTCCTTTCTACCATAGTTAAGAAAATAGTACGAAAGATTGAGACCGATCCTGATTAGCTTGTAGCCCCATTGATACCGCAGCAGTTGATACCAATCCTGTTGAGGCCGGGCAGAAGCAGTAGGAGGTAGCAGATAGTACTGTTCCCAGACTGCCACTGCACGATTGAATAACGAAGGCCACCAGCTCCTGAGGTGAGCTGGCCCAAAGGGCCCAGCAGAGAGCTCTGCTGGCCCTCCTGTCTGACTGACAGGACCAAGTCCTTGGTTTGGTGCCTACTGGAGGTGTTGGAATACTCCTGAGGCACGACAAGGCTCCCTGAACTGCCTGACTACCGCTGTACCTGAGGAAGGGTTTCAGCGAGATCCAGTCCACTACTTGCGTATTGGAACTGATCCTTCAAGAAACTTACTGGGCATTGGAAGATCCTTCGCATCTCGATAGGATGCTTCCCGGCAAAGATGCGGTAGCCATAGCAGCTGTGGATCCAGAAGTTGCAACGGCTGAAGCCAAACGGAAAACGGCTAATGATGGGCTGGACATGTTCCTCCTCAAGCCGAAAGCAAAGAAGGGTCTTGATCTGTTCGAGCACATGTGCGAGAAGCGTACAATGTTTGATGCCAAGTTGTCACCGTCAAAGCATCTAGATGTATCCGTGTCGGAGCAGAATCGAAAGAAGCTGTCCGGAGCAGTCGAGACGGTGGCGGCCAAGAGAAAGATTATTCAAAAGAATGTGGTGGCAGCGAACAAGATGAAGGCTGCCAGGAGGAGGCTGGATGGCAGTGGCAAGGTTAAGAATCACGCCGCTCTGGTCAATGATGAGAAGGCTTTGCTGACATTGAAAAACAAGCAAATGCTCACAGATAGTTTGGCCCAGATTGAGGAGCTTCACAAGAAGCAGGCAGTGGAAAAGAAACGCCAAGCCACAGAAAGCCTCAACAGCTTGGCTCCAAAGGCAAAGGAGAAGCTCGGGCGAAAGCAGGTTGTTGCTTCCCTGACTAAGCCCGAGATCGTTTCCCTGTTGACAGTCTACTTTGGGTCCAAAGCGGACACCAAATTGGCCAAGGGAAGCCTGGTAATTGAATTGGAGAACAGGATTGAGTCCAAGCCTGATGTGCTACAGGTACAGTTGAAGCCTAAAGCAGCTCCAGTAGCTGCTTTGGCTACTGGGATGCTCTAGATTCAGCCAGGTCTTAAGCTATATAGCCATAATAATATTATAGTCTTAAGGTATCAGCCCAGAATATTACAATAGTCTTAATCTGTAGTGGGTCTTATAGTGCATATCACTCTATAGGCGACAATCATGGGATCGATGACTACAGCTCAACGCACAAACTCAATCCGAAGCCTCTCCTATCCTCTTTCGTTTCTTCATTCTCCAGCTCATCATTTTCGACAATCCACTAGCAACAGTCGAAGCTCTGCACTTTTCTCTCTTCAATCCTTCGTCTCCAAGCTACCATGAACACCAACGCTTCCCTTCAAGTCTTTGACCTTTCAAGTCTACCTCTTTATCCCATTGATTCCACCATGGCCGATCCCTCTTCCACCAAGGCGTCTGCCACCAAGACCGATTCCACCATGGCTGATCCCTCTCCCGCCCAGCCGTTTGCCGCCAAGACCGACACCACCATGGCCGATCCCTCTTCCACCAAGCGCAAGTGGAAGACCGACCCTAACTTTGCTGAGTTTCGAGGCATCCAAACTACCGAAATCAAGGGAGCCATGGACATGCATCACCAAGTTGATGCCGCCGCTTGGCATTCCCGAGTGCTGTACACGGACAAGAATGGGAAGGTTCTCTACGCTGTCACCGTTGTGATGCCTTCGTTGGTCTGCCACTAAGCATTCAACAAGAAGTATCTTGGGCCTCCCGGCATTAACCACGCCGTCCTTCCCTGGTACCAGCTTCCAGACAAGGACCCTTCTGACGATGTTGAAGCCATCACGGTCCAGTGTTTCAACATGCATAGCATCGCCCTTCTTGCTCAGCATGGGTGGTGGGTCAATGCTGTTGTGACATCAGGGGGCCAGTTGGAAGAGCATGCGCAACGTCTGGTTCAAACCTTCGTCCACGACGGGGAAGGCGACTGTATCATGTTCTTGAGGGGTTCAATCCTCCCACCGGAAGAAATCGCAACCGCCCCCTCTGCCTTCCGTGACGCTAGCGAAACCCCTCCCGATGCTGACTTGATGGCCATGATTAAGGAACAGATCGAAGCCTTCAACGCCAAGAACAAGAAGGAGCCCGAGGAGGAGCGTTGGGTGCAGGGCCCATTGATTCCCATGCCAGTTCTTGCTGAGGGCCAAACACTGGTGGTTCGAATCAGAGCTTCAGGCGATACTGAAGACACTGTTCTTCGTATCAAGGCAGTGGCCAAGAAGGATCAGAAGGATGGCGGCGCCAAGAAGGACAAGCAGGATGACGGCAGCAAGAAGGACAAGCAAGATGACGGCAGCAAGAAGGACGTCAACAAGCCCTTCAAACAAGCTTTGCATCCCTTCATCCGGCCTGGTGAGGCCTCAAGCTCTGATTCTGGCTCGGACGATGATGATGAGGTTATGGAAATGCCTCCACCCGCCCCTCGCAAGATTGATGCCGTTGACTTGACCAATGTCGACACTACTGATGATGACGAGGAGGAGAGGATAGCGATGACGAGGAGGACGCGATAGCGATGAAGATGACTCGAACAGCAAGTAGATTATCGGCGCTCATGCTTATTTCATCGTAGCCTTTTAACACTCTATAGTACTATTGATTTGATACTACAACCACAGGTACTCAAGTAGGGTAGCTAGTTTGCTTGTAGTTGTTACGTGTGAAGCCAATGACTCGATGTAGCCAAGCTAGAAGCCAAAGCCAAGGTTGCCCGTGCCATCATGGTATGACAGTGACAGCTACTGTGTCTACTAGATTTGCTAGCTCTTGACTAGGAAGTAGAACCAGTAGCTGTCACAGTCATACCATGAGGGCAAGTCAATACATACACACTACAATGCGGCTAGCTAGCTAGACGAGGAGGGAGGAGAGTCAAGTCAAGTCAAGTCAAGTCAAGTCAATAGATAAGAAGAGTACTATTATTTTGGATACCTACACTGCTACTGCTGTTGGTGGGAGCATACCTCCCATTATGATTGTTGCCATTTGCCTTGTTGGTTGTCACCGATAGGTTTGTTGTTGTAGATTGCATATTCAATCTTCATCCTCCACAGCCAGTCTCATAGGTGTACTCAGTATCAGTGGACCGAGTGCTGATCTGCTGATTTCCAATCAAATCTACCAACTCCACCAAATCAGCATCTTCCTTCCTTTCATCCCAAGGTTCCAAGGTGCCACTGCTTTCTCATCGTTTGTTGTTGTGTGGTTTCTTCTTCTTGACAGGAACAACAGCAGCAGGGACAGGCTTGACTGCAATAGACATAGGTGGAGGCTTCTTCAAGGCAGCAGGAGGCTTCACTGGAGCCACCTCAACCGGAGTAAGACAAGGTTCAGCCACCACACCACCTCTGCTCCTGGATCTGCTCCTGGGCCTGTTGGCTCAACAAAGCGGCCCTGGCCAGCAGGCAAAATGAACACAATCTCAATGCCTCTGTCAGTTTTCATAACAAGCTCTCTTCCTGAAAGGGGTGAGAATCCAAAGCTGACAAGTCTGGAATCCTTGTCAGCCACCTTCTCTGACAGATGAGTACCAACCTTCCTGCCTGCTCAACAGTCAGATACTGGTTCTTCTTGAATCTCCAGAGGAAAGTGCAGTCTTCATCCCACACTTCCACTAGCATATCCAGGTTCGACAGCAATGAAGCCATGGCTCTGGTTGTGGCAGGCGAAGGCTTTGGCTCGATACTCAAGTCAAGGTGGTAGAAAGAAAACAAGTGGCTGTCACCAGTCCGTTTGATGTCCATCTTGAGTCAGTGAATGGAGGCTGGAGAGGAGAGTGGAGAGCCGGAGAGTGGAGAGTGGAGAGTGGAGAGCGAGATCCGGAGCACTGAATGAATCGACCTCTTCTTCTTCTTCTTCTTTCTTCTCCTGAAAGCCCTCAATATTTCACCACCAAAGCGGCGCCATAGGATAGTCAATGAGAGGATGCACATGAGGTAACGGAGAGGCTGGCTAGCTAGTGGCCGAAAGAGGAGGAAAAGCGCCATTGTGCCGTGCCTTTTTATTTTTCGATCGATTCAAAAGTTTGTGGAGTGAGTGGCTCCACGCTGACAGGATACCTTCATTAGAGTTGAGGCTTATCCGTTACTGGCTAGAAATATTTAGCTATACAAATTACTAGAGTATGGCCTGCAGGCTCTATCGCGCTTATTAAGACGAGGCAGTGGAACTCATTCATTTGATACGACTGTGCCTAATCCACTTGCTAGACTCTCCACGATCTCTAGCTAGTACCGGTAGCCAGCCAGCTATCTGTTTGCAGTTCCACAACATGCGGTCAAAGCCTGCCTCATCACCTCAATGTTCTGTTGTATACTGCGGGTCGCCCTGTGCCCACGGTTATGAAAACCGCTGGTGCTAAGGTAATTAGGCCGTATTATGGTATTTAGAGCAGCATCAGCGTTCCACGGCTGCCCCAAGATAAAAGGTGGCGCGGATGCAGTCGATGGCTCAACCATCCAAGGCTCGGAGCAGCGCTAATGGCCACTACCGGTATCACCCTTGCAGGCATGGGAGCATGATGCTGGATCATGGAGGTGCGTTCAACGATCGCTAAGTTCTCTCACGGGAGGGGGATTTCAACGATTTCTTCTAAAGGCTGAGTCTCTCAGACCTCATTCATTGAGGGAGATAATACAAACGACGCTTTTGCTGGTAACAAGATACAATGATCAGGGTCAGGATACTTCTACAAGTATGTCTCCTCGTTGTACATGCCTCGTCGTTGGCGAGAGCTGATATGATGGAACAGTGGTTAGAGTCAGAGAAAAATCACCGCAACCTGTTTCTTCGAAGCAGCGGCCAACTTGGGGAAATTTGTGGTCGGAATACACTTTGTGCGGAAGGCTTGCAATGCGTCCGATCCTTTGCGAGAAGTACGTGCCTACCCCTGGACTGCGCAGAAGATGTTATTTTGACAGAACTGGTGGACAAGCTCGACATCGAAAACTACGGAACTAAGATTCTGGCTGCAGCTAATATCGAGATGGGAGACGATATGTTCAACGAAACAACCATGGCACTGGGCGAAGGTGCTCTGAACGAGTTTGGTCTCCGACATATTTTGAAGGATAATTTCCAGACATCTATTGTAAATGCCATGCTGGCCAATCCCCTGAATATGACGGACTATTTGGCTCGGCTGGAAAGCTGCACGGCTGGAAAACAAGGAGGAGGAGGAGGTACCGCCGGCAGTGGTGGTTTTGTTTTGACCATTGCAGCTGCGTTCAAGTTTCAGTACTCATATTATTATATCCAAGGGACAGCCGATGACGCGGGTAGCATCTACTCCAACCTTTGTTTTGGATTGGGCCCACAGGCCGGTTTGACTGTTGGAGGAATGGGGGCAGTGGGGTTCGCCAGCAAGAAGAAAGATTTCTTGTCCTGCAGCTGCCAGTTCGATGCCGGTTTCACTGCCATTGCTGGTTTGGACGTTGCGAATGTATACACCATCCCTGATCAAGTCCAAACACTGGAATTCCACCTCAATTCTGGGGCGTACGCTGGAGGCAATTTGGGTTTTTGTTACGTGGACCATGTTGCAAATTATGGAGATCCCTTCTTCACCTAAGAATCCAGCACCGGCAGGTCTTCGTTCTGGCTGAAGAGATTGCTGGAGTTTTGATTGCTACCATTCCAAATGATGGTTCTTTCGCGGAAGACTTGCTACGGTCGTTACGCTTTCTTCTACAAGGAAACTAAATACTTCCAATCTACCCACTTTGTAGACGGATAAAAAGTCTCCTTTTTCTGTATATATAGACTGATTTTGGGGACAGCAAAGAGCCATACGGTAGACCCCTCTTATTCACGCATTTCTTCCTTGGCTGCAGCCTGCAGTTGTTGTGTGTGATGCATGCCCTACTAGCCTGCTCTACAGCTTGTACCATTTGCAGCTGGTGGTCGACCGTAGCTATCACTAGCGCTCACACCCAAGATGCAAGGGACAGGCGCTGTGTTCCCATCCGGTAGAGATGAATGGCAATGGGCAGCATACCAGTGGTTAAAAGCGTTCGACCAGCAGTTGTCTCCACGCTCTTGGGGACGACGTTAGATAGATGTACTTTTACGGTACCATAAGGTACTTTTACCGTGGAATGCGTGACCGTGGAAGAATATTTGACAGTCGAAGTCATGGTCAGTGTGCGTCCTTCCTTTTATAGATGATGACGTGTTTTAAAAATTAAAAGCCAATGTCCCAATCATAATGGAACAGCGAGTTTGGAATCAAGACCTCTCAACCTCTCGAAGGAATCAATCCCAAAGGAATTTCTTTCATAATTTATTTTTAGCCTCGTTGTCAAAACAAACATCAGACCATGAATTCCATTCAACAGTTCGTTTTTGGGTACGGGTCCTTGATCTGCCCTCACAGTCGCGCCATTACAGCTCCCACATTGGCGGAAAGGACAGTCACTCCGGTGCTGGTGCGGCATGTGGAGCGGACGTGGGCCAAAGCTGTCCCCAGCGTTGGTTTCACGGCCATGGGTGTTCGTTTCGCAGATGACGCCGAGTGCGTGGGAGTGCTGGTGCCTGTGAATGATCGCGAGTTGAGTCAATTCGATGCCCGTGAGCGTGGGTACAATCGAGTGCCGTTGTATATCAATGATGTGGAGCCGGTGCCCTTTTTGGATTCCAACAAGTACGAGAAAGACCCATTTTGGCAGGCCAAGGCCATGACACAAGACCAAAGTTCGATCCGAATTTGGATGTACATGCAACAGAACCTTGCCCCTCCTTCCGAAGACACTCCTATTGTTCAGTCCTATGTGGATACCATCTTGAGAGGATGTCTGACCATTTCGGAAGATTTTGCAGAGCAGTTCATTGCCAATACCAAGGGTTGGCATCCTAATGAGATTTCGGATGATGAGGAAGATGATGAGGAGGAAGACATGGATATTGGCAGCGACGAAGAACAATCTACAGAAAATGACAACTCGTCATTATCTGATGAGGATGTCTTTTGGGTTGATGACCGTCATGACCCCATCTACCCTCGCGGAGATCAAAAATTCATGCTCAAGAACAAAAAGAAATTGGACTCTCTTCTGAAACGTCACAGGGAAGAGTTCCAGTTTCGTACCACCTTGTCCCAGCAGTAGGCTGTCGCTGGTGAGCTTCAGTTTTGTGGTGGCAACAATGAAACCAACAGGAGGCGTACCGTCCATGCAAGCAAGCAAGCAAACAAACCTGCCATTTGACAGATGGAAGAGAGCCTTCTTACCTTACTAGTCTGTTGTGTTTGTCGTCGGGATGGAATCGACACTGCCGTTGCTCAAGAGCCGGCTCTAACATTGTGCCAGGTTTTCAAAGAATCGAAGCGAGGCGCCTGGTTAAAATTAATCCCCAACTGGATAGCATGATATCTCAAATCAATATGCATAATGAACCTTATTATTAGTTTTTTAGCTGATTGAATGAATCATTCGCCCCTTCTTCTGTCCTCCTATGTTTGTGAAGTGTTGTATGATGTTAGCAAAAGTGGCTGAACTTAGTAAGTTTACTCACCAACTGCTGAATCGCTGGCTTTCCTCTTGGTAACTTTTCGGTTGTTTGACCTTTTCACCCCCCATTCGAAATCATCAGGGCTTGGGCTCTTGGGGTACTTGTGAAATGTGGGATTGTGGAGGCAGGCTCTGTAGATTTCGTTGCATTAGTTCATTAGCTTCTCTGGCAATTCTCTGAATCGTTTCGGCTAGCTAGCTAGCTAGTGCAAAGACTGATGTCTCCTGCCCTCAAGGTCTTGTTGACCTGTTTGTCGGTGAGGTTACCTCACCACTTGTAAAGGGGATTTCAAAGGGGGAGGATTGTCACTTTTTTAAGACACACTTTTTCTTCGAACTAGCTAGCTCTAGCTAGCTAGTACTAGTACGGTACTGTAGTAGAGAACAAGGGACAGAGATCCCAGATCGCCAGTGAGCCACGTTCGTGAACAAACCTCCGTTCTGCCGTTCTGCTTCGGCACTCTCAAAAGATCCCCTCTGAATCTGTTTTGAGTAGTTGACACCATGGCCGACCTTGACGATTCCTTCCTTGAAGTCCATGCCGTAGAGGATGGAACACCCCCTGCTATTGTAATACTGTTTGGCTGGTTAGGATCTCAATCGAGGCACCTGAGAAAGTATGCTCAACTCTATCGAGAAAGAAAATGCTCGACCATTCACGGAATGGGGGATACTGCCGTGAGTAGTTATTTATAGTTGGTCGTTGCATTCGTGGTGTTTCATGGTTCAGGCGGCTCTGATTTCAATCTCATCATTGTGTTCGCTTCTTCTATTGATTAATTCCTTCAGTCTGTCATGTTCAGGCGAAACGAGAACTTGAAAAAGTTGGGTATGGATGCTGCCAAAGAAGCAATTAAGCTACTTAAAGCATCTGAAGACAAGACAATCCCAGTCATCATTCATGTTTTCAGTGGTGGTGGATGTGTTGTTTTGGAGCAATTGGAACTTCTTCTGATGGAAGCTAGAGATGCCAAAGAACCAAAAACTGGCAATCAGGAGGACTTGATGACCCTTTATGATGCTATACAGAGAGGCGGACAGGTCTTCGATTCCAGCCCAGCATACCTGGGGGTTGGCGCTGGGATCCAGGCAATTGCGGCCGGAGTTCCCAATAGAACTGTGCAACTTATAATCCAGTTCATGTTCGTGGTGTTTTCCGTTATCACCATGATCATTTGTAAGCTGACGGAACAAAAACCCGGAGCCGAATTGCACTGGCAGCATATGCTGGACTCAGATATCGCCAAGCGACAAGGTTACATTTACAGCACCTCAGACAGATTGACGGACTATGAGAAGGTCCAGGAGGTGATTGAATATAGAAAGAAGCGTCCAGAAAGCAAAGTGACGGTGAAACGATTTACGAAATCCAAGCACTGTCAACATTTGATGGCTCACCCTCAGGAATACAATGCGTTCCTGGATGAATTCCTTGCCTCAATCAAGGAACAAAAGACGGAACAAAAGTTGCTGGAAGAAGATCCTGACATGACCGACTATCAGCTAGGAATGGACTAACCGCATTGCATGGCTGGGAGGCGCATGAGGCACACGACAACCCACTTCGGTATCATTCCCGATGCTTACATGGCCCACGCTGATATTCAGTTGCATGGAGGCTGTCTGGTTCGTCGTGGGGCCCGCACCGCAGAAAGTATGGCTCTTTTGTGGAGAGCCAGAAACATCCCTTCTCATCAGGGCGAAGCCAACAGCAAGTAAACTATTTCATTACTGTATCACAAGTTCATTGCGTATCGTCTGGTCGTGAGATCTGCTGTCCGCCAATTCGAAGTATCAAGAGGCCGGGCTCCCCGGATCAATCGAATCATCGTCCTGGAGGCTCAAGCGAGTGAACAGACGTACGGATATTTCTGGAGAACATGAAACAAGCACGGAACGTCGTCTGATGCATCGGCCAACACTTGCACAATGGTATGGTCTCGTTCCTCGTCTTTCATGGCTTCGAGAATCGGAACGTATCGGTTGAGCTTCAGATAGTGCTCCAGTTTGGCAGTAAGCTCTTGATCTTCGTACCCAAAGGTGTAACCATCACGCCTGAAGAACCCAAAGTCCAACAGTGTTCTATTGCGGCCTTTTTCGAGCAGCTCCAGCCAGGATTGTTGAATTGCAACCGGGACAAACAAGTTGACGCCTCCCTCTGCTTTGATCCTTAGCCTCCGTAGACGCGTGTTGGACTCA